ACACACACACACACATATATACACACATATATACATACATACACACACACACATATATACACATATACATACATACACACACACACACACACATATATACACACATATATATATATACACATACATATATATATATACACACATACATATATGTATATACACACATATATACATATATATATACACACATATATGTATATACACACATATATACATATATATATACACACATATATACATATATATATACATATATATACATATATATACATATATATACATATATATATACATATATACATATACATACATATACATACATATACATATACATATACATATACATATACACATACACATACACATATACATATACACACATTAAGCTATAGAAAGGGGTAGGACCTTTGAAGTGCCTACTCCTTTGCGAACATACAATATTTATTTCTTAGTTTAGTTTATTTAGAATTAGCTGGACATGTTTATTGTTCATTTTAATGGTGATTCTTTTTTAGTTTTTCTTATTATTTGTTCCAAGTTTGAAATAAAATCCATCCATTTATAAAACCATTTATTTCTAACATCTAGACTACTTGAACTTAACTCTCCACTGTTAACTAACCCTAACTGTATTCTGTACCACCTCACAAACATACTCATACCTACCGTGTACGTAGTGGGTGTGAAGCTGTACGGTAAGGACTGCTCAGGTCACAATACGTCACACAAGAGAAACAACAAACCCAGCATCACCTGTACGGAGGCTCTGGTTTCAGCGTTACAGTCGTCCGTCACAGTAAACTGGAAAGTGTGCGTGTCTGTAGTTTCAGCTGAGGCCTTCCACATCAGCAGGCCGGCCGGAGACAGAGATGCGCCCTCGGGACCCGATGCCAGGGTGAAGAGCACCGCCGAGCCCTCGGGGTCCCGGGCTCGCAGCTGGTAGATGAAACTCTCTCCCTGGAAGGACCGGAGACCAAACGGCAACGACTGGAGCTCCGGAGGCTCGTTCTCTGATGTGAAACACGAAGGAGGGAGGGAGGGAGTGAGAGACTGGAGAATAAAGCCATGAGTGAGGCATGATGAGGTGACTGTGTGGAAAGTTCTCCTTCTGCAGACCCAATTTGTCTCACATTCAAACATTTTAAAACGTAAGAAGAAGACATCTTCTGACAGAGCTCAAACAGCACAATGGCTCAGCAGTTATCTTATGATTTTAGCTTATCATTAATGTATCTGTATCGGCTCATATTGGCCAAGCAATTACAAGAAATTGCAGTATAGAAAATGCAAACAAAAAGAGTAAAAAGATAAATTTTGTGAGACTATTTCAAATTTAAAAAAGGAATTTAATGTTCATAACGCGGCCTTTCTTACACCACACAGTGCTGAATGAAGCACCTTTATAATAGCTCCAATTTTTAGCTCCATTTTTATAGTCTTATTTTTCTCAACATAACATCAGCATATTTTTATGGTGTTTGTTGTTGTGGTTTATAGTATTTTCTGGCTTTATTCAAAGGGATCAGTGGAGAGTTTACTGGCAATGATATGAGAGAGAGGATGTGATGTGCATATTGTATGTGTCTGATTACTAATTTCATTTGATGCCAAGTGTTTATAATGGACGTTATTTGCTGTTTCTGATGTTAATCTTTCAACTGTGACATGACCCGCTCAGTGCACGTCCTGGTTGAAACATACAGATTTAAGGAATGCGTGAAAAATGTTTGTTCATGTTTAACTTTCAGGATTTTTTGACTCTAAAACATCAGCATCAGCCTTGAAAGTATAGATCAGACTCTACATTTCAATAAATAAATGAATCATTCATTGACTGCATGCCTGAAGAATTGATTTGTCAATAATCCGCAGCGCGTCCTGGTATCCTCATCAGTCAGACCAGTGATCTGACTTCAGTGAAGTTAACGCTACGTTTCCTCTGAGCGAAGCGGAGCACCGCTTGACCTACTTTCAGGTGAAGTCGGCCAGAAAGTGTAACAACGAGGTGAGCCGTCCTCGTATCAGCGCCGGGGGACTGAAAGCAAACTTCAATGGCTCCAATCTGCACAGAGCTGCTGACAAATGATCAAAACAGCCCGGAGCCACGACCAGCTGCAACACTCGGTGACGGCCGTCCCACAGCAGCTCTACTGCGACACATTCAAATCTTTTTTTTTTTTTTTTAATCTGACATCGTGTACGGTGTCGTCTAGACTCCCTGAGACAAACCAGGTGAGGGTGATAAAGTACGTACTCTCCGCTAGGGACCACGTGTGTTTGGACGAGTCTGGGCGACATGTGAGGCAAGGGCTGCTGGGATTGGACTCCCCCTCACTGTAACACAGGCTCTCAATGCTGCAGGTCTTCTCCTGGGAAGCAAAGACAATAAATAAAACAATTATGTTCAGTGTTTTATTTCTCTTTGAAACAAACCGCCTTTCATGACATAAAGCATGCTCAACCCTGACCCGCCTCAGTGAGGCACAAAGGCACAAATTTATTTAAAAATAACACTTTATCAAACAAAATAATCAAAATCTACATCCTCTAATCATAAATATGTAACTGATATCAAAAAATGAAGTAAAATAAAAACATGATTCTCTTGTTTTTCTATGTTTTATATTATTGTAAATTAATATTTAAAAAAACACGTTTTTTTAACCATGTTTTACCATTTTAATCTCCATTATGCCTTCTGATTGTACTTGTTTTTTTTAACTGTGTTGTTAATAAAATGGACCTGAACTGAGTGACAGACAGAAATAGACACAGTTAGAGGACGAAGGAAAGCTGGAGATACTGCTACTGTTGGATCTCTGTATTAAATGAACACCACTATGAAGAGAGCTGTCTCACCCTCAGGGTGCAGAGGACGTCGGTGTTGACGCTGCAGATCTGGCAGGCTCCGTCGTACATAGTCAGTACTTTGGCGTTACTGAAGCTGTAGCCGTCGTTGGAAACCTGCCATCAGCAGAAGCTTGATTACTGTGAATCACTGGGAAAGGGCATCACACAAATAAACTAAACCGTACAGCAGTGAGGTGAACTGCAGTCGCACACACTGGGTCAGTTTCCTTGAGGTGGACTATAGACACGATGCTGGACCTGTTTACCAAATCTAACTGCTGTGAAAAAGTATTCCTACACTTTGTTTCATCCACTTGGCAGTTTAGTACACAAATACATTTCCAATTTTTCACACTACTGAGTTAATTTCTTCTCCTAAACCACGTCAAGCTGGAGTCTGTGGACGCTTTCCACAACTGAAGCCAGCGTATAAAAATGAGCAAACATTCACATCTGTCAGCTTTTCATTACTTCAGTGCAGATTTACTGTATGATCTCATATTGGGAGATTTTGAGCTAATGAAATAACCTGCAAAATAATAATAGAATTGTCATGCTAATCCTTAGTTTCAAGAAGGATTGACGATGACGACAGAGGAAAGAAAGGAGGAATAAAAGCTTGAAGAGAGAAACCTGAGTAGGAGACCAGATCAAGTGGTCGGGATAGATCTTTTTACAGCAGGAATGGTTGGAGACGTGACTAACTTTGATCTGCCAGCGAGCCAGTGGTCGGTTTGTCTCTGTCTCCTGGTCCAGGCCTGCAGGAGCCCGGCTGTCCTCCAGGGGGAGCTGGCACTCCAGAGACGTCACATCCAGAAAGACGGCCAGGACGAACTGGGACTCGTCCAGAACCCAGTCCCCATCCTCGAACTGGACAAGAGACACCGAGGGAGAGAGGGAGAGAGGGTGCAAAAGAGAGAGAGCGAGAGAGAGACATGGACAAAATCTAAAAGACTCCCGCATTAACCACTTCACGCTTGTGCAGGTGCGTTACTCATCTGTACGAGTCAGACATGTTTTAAATAATAAGAAAAACTGTTTTCTTCAAGAATTGAAGGTAACACGAGGTGAGTAATTGATACACAAATGGTCCTTATTATTATTTGTGGCCTTTAAACAGTTGAGCTATAAGAACATTTTGAGCTACATCAGCTGTCTCACAGAGAATATCTGAAAAGGGATCAGAACGTTTATCAGAATCATGATTATACGGACTGACTCTTACCATCTACAATATCTACAATATCTTAGTCTGCAGTTTGCAGTTCCATGGCCAAAAAACTCAAGAAAGAATTGACAACTTCTAGGTAATCTGCAAACAAGGGGATTGTAATTGCAATTTTTACTTTTTCCAGTTGCCATTAATATACAGGTAGGTAGGTATAACTGCACACAGGCCCAGTGCAACAGACTTTCATGAGTCGTCCTTTGCAGTTTAGTTTGTTGTGTACTGAGGCAGTTGAATGAACTGACCAGGTTTTTCCCAACTCTGAAATTTGTAGCTGTTCCTCTGGTCTGGTGAGAACTGTATGCGCTCCCTCTACCTGTTCCCTCCCTTTCCTGTCAGCTATGCCCCTCCAAAATAGCACTGCAAGACATATCTCAACAAATCAAGATGACATGCCAAGATTAAACATAAATGGCTCCTACGGGAATAAAGAAACAGAACAAGAAGCAGAGACAAAGTACCTTTTCTTTTACAAACTCACACTTGAGCTCGTAGGAGTCCTTGAAGCCTTGACCGTGGACCTGGACGGTGGTGCAGTCTCCCTGTCGCACATCACACAGACCCTCCTTCTCCAGCTCGGTGATCTCTGGGATCTGGTCTTCACAACGTCAACGACAAAAAGAGCATTTTACTGTTCGTTGGTCAATTGAATGACATTATAAGTAGTTTTGCTTGTTTAATTTAACGCACTATGCGTTGTAGCTTTTGTTTTGTTTTGATATTGGTTTTCTTTAAGAGTTTGGGGTATTTTACAGTTGAAAAATACAGTTGTCATACAGTTGTCAGTGCTCGCTGACTATGGAATGGAAATTAAATTCTTTAGCACCTCAAACATATTTGGCATTTCTACCGATATGTCCGCAATAAGGGAATAGGAATGTTTATTTAGTATTTTACCAGAAAGCACACTGCAGTCATACGACCCAAATCCTGGGAAGCAGACGCAGCCCCACTCTGAGCACTGGCCGTTCCCGTTGCACAGATTGGGACACTTGAGGACAGCCAGAACATCCTGGTACTCCTTTTCTCTGCTCCTCTCCTCCGTTATCCTCCTCTCACACTCGTTTTCCAGCAGCGGTGCAGTTGCGTTCAGCCACGACTGCTCGTCCTTCAGCTGTAGGTCGGTGACGCACATAGCCGTCGCGCGGCTAATTATCCACTCCTCTAACAGGCGCCTGCAACCCAACGCGATGCTCGAGCCCGCCACGGCCTGCTGGCACTGAGTCCTGGCCTGCTGCTCGGTCAGACCAGAAGGTGTGGGCCACTTGAGGGAAGAGTCGGGTGGAACCACCGCTTCGTGGTCCTCTGGGAAAAAGTAGGTGAAGCCCTCCAGATCAGACTGGCTGAGGCTTTGGTGCGGAGAGTTGGAAACGTAACGGTGGGTCTGACGCTGGCTGTGAGCCGAGGTTGAAGCTCCGTCCCTGCGCGGCCGAGCATCACCACCTCGACCCCGGGTGTTGTGACTGGAGCGACCCGGAGGCAGCGGCTGTCCGACGCTTCCTTCGTCTTTGAGCAGCTCCACCGAGCCGATGTACTCCGCCGTGACGTCCAGAGTGGGGATGACACTAGTGAGGTGCACGTTGCCGTGATGGGAGCAGGTGGAGTCGGAGGAGGTGGCTGGTTGAGAGCGGGCTCTGGGGGATGTGAGGCGGGGCCCGGCCTGACAGCTGCAGTACTTGCGGGGGCTCAGTGCGCTCAGGTGGGACGGCACGGTGTCAAACAGGCTGCTGCCTGGAGGGAGCCTGACAGAGGAGAGGAGAGGAGAGGAGGAGATGTCAGGGAGGAGGAACCAGGGTCTGACAGGAGAGTCTTGATAGAGGGCCCTGTGCAAACGCAGTTGATATTGTCAATAGCAAAGTAAATTCCTTATATGTCCGTATCAAAAGGCCAATCAGAGTTCATCTGGCAGGATTAAAGTTTCTTTATCTCCATATGTCTGCATATCTCTGCTCCTAACAAGCACTACCAACATTTTTGTGTCAACTGACAGATACCTCACTCGTAAAAAAAGCACTGGGTTCCTGTCATTTCGCTAACTTATACTTCCTCGCGTCCCCCCTCGTGGAGGATCTTCCAATCCCTTAAATGCGCCTCGAGGAGACGAGGAGCTAGGAGAGAGAAGGCTTCCTATGCCGGAAGTCATTTATCAAGTGGCGTGATGTGTGAATGCCACACCTCCAAATTCAATCATTCTTCATGACCGGTTAGCATAAAGAAAAGCACCCACTGACCTCCATTCAGAGACGAAAGCCTGCAGGTGCTCCAGTGTGGCGCCCCCTGCTGAGTGAAAGTCGTTGTCCGTCCGTCCGTCGAAGGTCCCGCAGAGGCCCTCAGTGTGGCCCCGGTCTGAACTGGGAGCTCTCAGCGTCAGACTCATTCCCCAGTCGGACACGTCGGCGCGAACGAACGCTCCAGAAGAGAAGGTCATCTACGAACAGCCAAAGATTATCACATGAAGGTTGTTGGGGCTTTACGCAGGTTTTATAGTGTGTGATGTATGACAGTCATTGGTCTCATAATCAATTTAAATATTATTGTTTTTCCCCCAAAACATGCAATGATTTTGATTTTTGTATGTGTTGGTCAAGATATAATAAAGTAAATACTGTAATGATTTATGAACTATAAACTCTGTATAGAGAGTGTTTATTATAGAGAGTATAACTACATTAATTCAGCTGTATTGTCTCTAGACGGATGTCCTCGCTCACCGTGACTTTGCGTCCCTGGTAGGACTCGGTGATGCGGATGCCGCTCTTGCTCAGGTCTCTGTTCCTCACAGACAGGTGAGGTTTGGTCTCACCCATCTCCCTGTTGCACATGTCGAAAGCGATGACATCGCCGCCGTCCCTCGCCACGAAGCCGCACGCACACGAGGCGGCGTGCACCACGCTGCCGCACTCCCACTGACGAACGTGGACCTCGAACGGCCTCGCGACGCTCTTATAGAGGACAAAGGTGCCTACTTGGTAGTTGTCATAGTGCCTGAACATAAACAAAGACACATACTCATATTTGTTTGCCCTCCAGCCCTTCTAGTGTAGACCATTAGATATTGTCATGACAGAAAAAACATCATTCACTATGGACAATCTAAAATGACCACGCAAGATAAAATATGCTAAATTGCAGTTAAATATAGCACATTTTCTGGTACATATAAAGTATGTTTTCTGATGAACTGAATAAGTACCTGCCATCAAATGTGATGATGTGAGGATCAGTGAAGGAGTAGCAGTAAGCGGAGGAGACGTCTCTCACTGTTATCTGAAATGACAGTTTCATTCCTATTCAGATATGTAGTGGAGAACCAACTGTACATTCCAAACCTCTTGAATTAATAAACCATCAACAAAGTGTCATAAAATAACTGTTTATCAAATTTTAATCCGTTTACCTCAACTGGTTCTGGTAAGTACCCGTTCCAGAGAACATTCTGCGTGACGATGGATTTAACGGAGATCTGGGTTGTCCTGTTGCCATCTTTGACAAAGTCGGTGACGGGGCTGAAGTGGATCACAGCTCGGCTACAAACCCCGTCCCTACACGGGCCCCGGGACAGATCCACCACACAGGAGGACAGAGACAGATCTGCACCCAACACACCCTCATCTGTGACACAACAAGGAAGGAGGTGCTGTAAATGTTTTGTAAGCTGCACACGAGCTATGATGACTCAGCAGTGAGTCCTCACCTGTACTGCTTGTGCTGAGCTGCAGAGACAGAGTGCACTGCTCTGTGGAGGACGACTCCTCCAGACATGGGACAGGAACTGTGCTCTCCACCACCAGCTCATACAGCCTCCCATCCTCAGACACACTGCTCTGCTCTGGTCGTAGCTGCACATAACAGTCATAAAACTGGTGAGCCCCTCTATACATAGAGCCTTCATCACCATCGCATGACATTCAGAGGCAGAGAGAGGAACAAATAAACTCTTTAGCCAACAAGCTTTTGTGAGAGCATCAGCTTACAGGCTTAAAGAAAGAGGAAACTTCAAAATCTAAAGGAAATATACTGTAGTTTGAGATTGATTCATTTGTGATAAATGTTGACTGTCAGCAAGAAAGCATCATAATATAACTTTGGACACAGCCCGGCTAGCTTTCCCCCCCGCTTCCAGTCTTTATGCTAAGCTAAGCTAACATCCTCCTGGCTCTAGCTCCATACGCACAAATATGAGATTTGTATTAATCTTCTCTTGTAACTATCTGCGTGAAAGATAACTGCAGTAATTCCAAATTCTGAAATATTACTTTCAATATATCCAGTGAACCATATGCAGTCACTTATTCTTCGTTGAAGGTATACATACCTACATATAATTAAAACCTACAGACAGAACCACACGGACATGCATGCAGAAATATAGATCTGCTTAAACAATAGTCCCGCACTGTTCACTGAGAGACACCACACACATAAATAGTTATGATATACCATAATCCCAGCAAAGAACTCCTGACTTTGCACTGAAGCACCATGAACGGTGGGCGAGTCCAAGAAGAAGCTGGAGCTGGAGCAGTAAATCTGAGAGGGTCAGAGATTTGTTGAACAATTAACAAATATGAATTGTTTTGCCTACATTAAAGAGAGAGAGAGAGAGAGAGAAAGAGAAAGAGAAAGAGAGAGAGAGAGAGAGAAAGAGAGGTGTTCGTTTATTATATAACTTTCTCCCACCGGTCTGAAAACGTTCAAATATGAGAATATTTTCTCTTGGTTCATCTGTTTTTATTCCAATTATTATTATGGCTATAGGTGTGACATTGGTCCAGTATTGCCCCCCCCTTTATTCCACTAGAAGTAGAACTGATTGTGAAAATGAACTGGACTCTGCATCCCACCTTGTCCCCCAGACGGAGGTTGAAGCCGTCCAGTTCGATGTAGGCGGAGGTCTGGATGGTGGTCTCCCGTTTGAGCTCCTCCTTCCTGCCCTCAAGGGAGAGGCGGGACCAGGCCACCACGTAACCCAGGGAGCTGTTGGAGCTGCTCCCAAAGCTGCACCTCAGGTAGACGGAGGTTCCGGTCACCTCCGAGACAATCACTGGTGCAGATGGAGCGGGAGGCTGCTTTGCTGACGGGAGAGAAGCAGAAGGAGTGGGTAGATTAGTGGAGTCCAACACGTGTTTTAGATTAGATGATGTCTGTGCAATTAATTCTCTGCATGTTGGTAGTGTAGACACCAAAACAGAGGAGGAAAAGGAAGTCAACACAGCTGCTTTTGAGCCTTTATCAAAGGGCCAGTGTGTAGCTTTTAGGGGGACCGATTGTTTCATCTGAAAATAAGAATCGTTGTGTTTTTGTTAGCTTACAATGAGCCTTCATCTGCATCTGGAGCGGCTCCTCTTCACAGAACTGGCTGCCATGTTTCTACAGTAGCCCAGAACGGACAAACCTAACACTGACTCTAGAGAGGAGCTTTCACGTTTTCACGTCTGCCATCGTAGTTCTTCTACACGCTTGGCACACGGGAGAAGTTTCAGTCGGTTGCAATCTGCAACCTCACTGCTAGATGCGGCCAAATCGTACAGACTGGCCCTTTAAGAAATCAGGATCCTAAACTGTAAAATGATGTGGACATCTTGTCTCCATACATCTTGTACTTTTGATCTGGAGCTGTTTTTTTGGTTCAGGCAAGGACTATAACTTCCAAGTAATGGAAATCTTTGTGGCATCAGTTTGGGAAAGGCCTGTGCACAAATCCAGGTCCATAAAGAGCTTGACAGGCAACAGATCCCAGACCTCGACCCCAATCAGGTTCAGATATCTTGAGCAAAGTCTTCCAAGAAGAGAGGAGGCTGTTACAGCTGCATATAAATGCCCGTGGTTTTGGCATGAGATGTATAACTATCACATATGGATTTAACGTTAATCAGTCAACATCGTCTGCTCAGGTGTTCGTGTATTTTTGGCCACAATCTGCATTCAAATGTGAGCTCTAACCCAGGTGATATATTGTAATCTTTATACAGTGTGCTCAAAGTTGGGCAGGACCATTTCTTTACTTTTGTTTATTGCTACTATTAAATGAACATCTAGAAATATAATACTGTACTAACATTTGACTGGAAACTGCTGCTAATTTCCATTCCAGGTGGATTAAATGGCAAAACTCTGGGAAAGTAATAAAACTTCTTCTAAATTAACTTTGTCACGACTGGAAAATGAAGGAAATCTGTATGCAGAGGAAAGTAGCTTATACTGAGGAAAATAAATTTATTCGTGCGAGCAGTTTATCCAGAACATATTCAGCAGGGCCTGCTCTCTGAATACAAAAGTGGAAGAGAGAGCTTGGGAATTGTATTATCTAAAACAAGTTGTTGTTCAGAGGTATTTCATCTTTCTCTCATTAAACCTCGCGGCTCCTCTTCACCTCTACCAGCTTCCTAAAACCCGCCCTGGCGTAATTCACGACCCGGCTGAGGGCCGTCGCCATGGAGAGGAGGCCCAGCGGACGCCGGGGGGACACATGCTCAGCTCATTACGAGGAGCGGCGAGGGGGCCGACGGTGCATTCCTCACCACATGGCAACTCCCCGACCTCCCGATCGTCGCGGTGTTTGACCTAACACGAGGAGACAAGTGTAAGCCATAAACACAGCAGCGGGGTCCTCACTTTGACATGTTCCGTCCACGTTCACCCTGTCGGGGCCGCAGCTCAGCGACGCTGTGGGTGAAGTGTCCGACATCTCTGTTAAGACAGAGAGAAGAGCAACAACGGCACTCAATTACAAATCAACATTAATTGACATAATAGATGCTGTTACATGGAAGAGAAAGAGACAAGTGAGTTTGTCTCTGAAGCCTTGTTCAAACACCGTTCCCGGTGAACTACTGGGATAACCTCAAAAGGCACCGCTAGTGATTTTCACCATTCATGCACTTCATTCAGGGACATTTTCATCTTGCCATGCAGTACTTATGGATGCTTAACACCATAAAACTCAACAGAAGAAGAAGGAGATGGGGCAAGGCCTGATTTACGTACGCAGACTACAACGTCTCTTAATATTTTTAGGAACAACGTTCTTGTAATTGGCATAAACGGTGAACCCGTAAACGAGTTGGGATTAAAATAAGTCATCAGCGAAGTCTTGTGATCGGTTCGCTTGCTCCACGCACAGCAATGTTACTGCTTTCATTCACAACACAGTCCTGCCGGCTTTGTTCCCTGAAATGTTCTTAGGTCTTGAGGTGGGAAATTGGTGCTACAGGTTTACCCTGAATATTGATCCCATGCAGGAAGTGTCGACTACATGTGTGAATGTGGCCTAAAATCTTATCTACTTTAAAAGCGCCTTATGTCGAAAAGTGTTGATGTGTATCCTAGAAAGTATGGGATAGCCTCACATTCATTACTCGGTTGTAGTTTTGTTCTAAAGATTGACATTTGGGCACATTTGAACTTTTGTCTGGTGCATTCTCATGACATCCTCGTGTTCACATGAAGCAGATGTGAGCCGTCTGGAAGATGGCTAGCAAACATCTCCATTCGTCTTTTAGAGTCGTATAACAGGACACTTCAAACGCGTTCCAACCCACAGTTTAACTATGTTTATAAATCAGAACACATTGTATCTTCGACTGCAGGTTTCTATGGAAACTTCTGCTTTGAGCTTTATTATCATTTTACGCTCAAAAGTGAAACAAACTCTGAACTAAACTGGCCACACATTCATGTTATTGGTAATCGGTCATGCTGTAACGCTTAATACTGTGCTCTGAAGAGCTCTAATGTAGATGGTGTGTCAAGAAGTGTGACAGATTATTCATGTATTTCAATGCGTTATGAATATGAATGTAAAGTATTATAGATTTGGGTTTAAAAGAAAGTCACTGAGAGTTGAGGTATTTTTCAGAGATGCAAAACTCTAAATCTGTATTCAAGTTAAGCTGCAAGCAGCCTGGCTAATCCTGCTTCAGTGTAATTCAGTTTAGATTTTATAGCACATAGAAAACGGTTAACAGCATGTCGTTTAGAAAACATTATCACAAATATGGATCTTTCTGTTCTGACTTACCCTGAGCGCAGTATCCCATGCAGCCCTGCGTAGGCTGCAGCAGGTAAACATAGAAGTCTCCACAGTTGCGGACGGTGACCGGGATGCGGAACATGCAGCAGTCTTTGCTGATGCCCGGGAAGAGCTGCCAGGCGGCGCAGGCCGTCAACTGCCTCACCTCCAGGGGCCCCGGCAGCGAGTCACCCTCACCCAGGGACAGCCACACAGGAGCCTGAGTCCCACAGTGGTTCACCTGGATGTTTAGAGAGAGAGAGAAGAACAATAGGGAACACCATTTCACTGTCGTTTCCTCGCTATACTAAGGTTTGCTATTCTTAGCACCAGAAATGGGTAATAATTGCAGCTTTGCACCAAAGATGTCACCAACATGCTTAATAACGTTTAGCTTAAATAGCATACATCTGAAAATAGTACTTAAAGTTACTACAAGGAACATTTATTTTCTGTTGTTTTTGGCGTTCCAACGTTTACGAAAACAGTAGTGTTTCCGAGAACCTGAGTCCCTTTAGAAAACCTCTCATTTTACTGCAGCAGGGGTCTGACGCTCAATCCTAGTTCTGGTACTACCGTTCCTCCCTTCCCTCAAGCAGCCCAGCAATAAGGCCTGGGTCTTCAGCAGCATGGTGTTGGTGTTGGCTCCAAGCGGGAGCAGCGAGGCGAAGCTCTGCTCCTGGAGGAGGCGGAGGAAGAGGAGGAAGAGGAGGGGGAGACGCTGCTGCTGCTGCCGCCAGGAGCTGAGCTCTCCTCTTCCCTCCGGGGCTCCGACTGCCGGTTGAAGACTGCAGCGAAGCCGGATCTGGGTCAGTCTGCGGTGGACTGGACGCACCAGTCTGAGCTGAAGGAGTTTCTGGTGAACCTGCATGATTTCATCTGATTTTGCAGGGGAATCCCACCCGGTGGCACCGATGACAAGCATTAAGAATAACTATATTGATATAGACAATCTTGTTGCTGATGGTCTTGTTCACTGATAAAGGTCCTACAGAGGCATCAGTATCACATTGAGGCGGTTTCATAAGCAGTTAAAAGTTCCTCACAGTAACTTCAACACTTGATGTCACAGCTTAGTTTGATTAATCCAGCCATTTATCCGCCATCATTATAAAGACATTGCCTTATTATGTAACACATGTTCAGAGCGATCCTCTCTTCCTTCCACCGCCCACTCCTGTGGATATCTATCCCCCAGGGAGAGCAGCGATGCCCTGGGAAGACAGAGGGAGGCTGACACTTCAGATAGATCCTGCAGGCTCCACACAGCAGGACGCCTGCAGGAAATGAGGCCCATTCCTGCTCTCCTCATGCACTCTCTTTCATAAATATGTACTCACACACACTGATAACCGTGTCCACAAGTTCATATGTATACTTTTTTGTGAACTCAAGTTCAGAAAGAGACATGGGACATGCTTTCTGCAAAAGAAATTCCCAAATTAGTGAGACGGAAGTATCTCTCTCCAAAGCACCGGTGATGAAATTGTTTGCAGGGTGGCACAAAAGAACTGGAAAGGTCCTTTAAGACACATCAGCCAAAACCACAGACATTACCAAATACTCCCGACGGTTCATATTCTGTGTGACATGCAGATCATTTACCTCCACACACTGGGTGGGCATGCTGGCCGGCTTATCAAAGATCTGGAACTGGTACCAGCCCGGAGCGAGGGAGTGGTCACAGATGAAGTCCTGCAGGGCCGACTCCTGCAGCCAGCTGGAGCTGAAGGTGGTGCTGCGGTAGGGGTCCTGGAGGAAGGAGTGGCCGCCCGGCGCACACTCGGGAGGGGGCTCTGCAAGTCCAGCCAGAGAGACAACATGAGCACTGGATGGACACCAAGACTGTCAATACCAATCATCGAATATATGGACGGATGTCTGCGGGACAAAGAGTGAATTGTGGACGTCCTCCGTCCAGCTGGACTGTATTCAAGATAAACATGGCAAATTGAATTTCAAAGCGAGTAAAAAGGTCTGGTGCTGCTCAGTGTTGAGGTTTGCACACAGACCAGGAAATGCATGAGACAGACAGAGTTAGATTTGATCATTTACTGGATATGAATCATTTTGAGAAAAGACAAAACTGTCCTGTTACATCAAAGAGAAATATGACGTGAACAGGAAGAAGTAGAGCTGAACATAACACAAGCAGCAATTACAAAACCAGAAAATATTAAGATGACATGCAAATATATGGAAAATGTGTAACTCATTCTAGGAACAAATATCAACAATCAAAGCTCTCAACGTCATGTAAACAACTTCAGTTCCTTAAAAGCTCTGTTGACCGTCAATTCTATTCAATTTGTGGACGTCTCAAGCCAAACTAGGATGTGGGCCTGTACCCGGGGGTTTTATCGTCACTCCACGCTGGTGACAGTGATGTAAACAAAGGGAACAAGGGTGATGAAACAGAGGAGGGATTTCCTTTCACAACTTCACCTCCTTCAAAGATCCGTTTCAAAGGGAAAAATTCTAAATGTCTTGTTCAGCATTCGGTTATATTTAGTTACACCCTCTCGTGTCACTTCTGGTTGCACTTGAGGCTTCAAAACCGTAGTCCACAAACCAATGACTGACGTCAAAGTGACTACGTCCACTTCTAACATACAGTCTACTCGTCAAAGACCATCTGGCCAAACAAACGATGTTACCACCTCATGAAAATCCTCATCACGTGAAGTTCAAGAAAGTTGTGATGATGTTGCTCCACAAAAATAGCAGCCATCACCTCCTGCCATCAGTCAACTCTCAACACAACAGTTTCTATAGAAATTACATTTTACATGATGGAAAACCTGGAGCAGGTCCACGAGAGCTCAGTCTGGGTCTCAGTACTGACGATGGATGACAACAGCTCGGCTTCTTTTACAGAGACGCCTGAAAGGGAAACACCAGCCTGTTTCCAGACCTTTTTAAAAGAAATGGCTTGTCGTCTAATGACGACCAAGATTGTGAAATTAGGTGAGAGCAGAGAGGAAGAAAAAGATCCAAGCTGTAACCAGGAAGTTACTGACCGGCTTCTGTGCAGAAACCTGCAGCGACGTTTTCAGTCCCTGAGCAGAGAGGTCAAGTGTTAAGTGAAGTGAATTATTATTAATGGCTTTTCCCAGCAGGAAAGGTCAGCAGGCCAAAGGTCAAATGAGGACTCTTAAACACACTGTTTAAGTGCTCAGGGATCATTAGAGCGGACAATAAAATTAAACTGGAACATCTTTCAAACTTTTGCCGAGGAGGACGTCGATGCAACCTGTGGACACGACGCTGCAGGGTTCTGTTGTGAGTCGAACGGACAGAGCGACAGAGGTGGGACCAAATCCTAAACTTTGAGTTTCGAGTCATAATACGCTCTTCACCAAATGTAGAGTAATGATATAATACATTTCCATAAATCACGAATGTTTTTTAAAATGTAAAACACATTTGTTAAGACAAAAAGGAAAGTTCTGACATTATGCTGTTGTAGCTTAAAGCACTATTAACCACAACGGAATTAATTTAATTTTGACAAGTTTAAAGTCATCAGATTTGTCCACACCTCTGGTTAGCGGGACATAATGGTTCTTTAGTTATCTTAAAGTCAAGATCAGGAAAAGACCTCAGGTGACTAAAAAGAGGTCAAGAGAGAGAGAGAGAGAGAGAGAGAGAGAGAGAGGGAGGGAGAGAGAGAGGCTCCAGGTGTATAGTGTGTGACCATAGAAGTCGGGACATGATGATAAAAGCATAAAGGCCACAAAAGTGTGAGCGAAGATGAAGACCCCCGAGCTGTGAACCAAGAAGCTACCGGACGTTTGTTTCTGTGCCTGACCGGAGAGGTCAAGTGAAAGGTCAGCCACTGCACAGAGCTGCCAATAGACTCTCAACAGCTGGCCGCTTCAGTCCCGATCAGCTGGACAGGAACTCTGACATCCTGTCTGCTGTGTCACCACCATGTTGGGTGAAAGAATAAGAAAGAAACTCCGCCTCCCATGGCAGCACGAAGCTGCCCATGAGACTTGGAGGTATGTGGCCTTGGATGACAGTTACATGACGGATGAGAAGGTGTCAGCTTCTTTTTGGCAGAGGGACAAAAAAACTAGCAGAGGAATCTGAGCTCTTTGGTATACAGTGATTAAATATTAGTTTTAATACAATGTTTGTATATTTTTAAATATTTTACAAAGCACATAACAACAGTCAAACTCAAGAGTTTGTGATTTACATAAAGGGGGGGGGGTGAGCTTACCTGTTTGAGCGTGCATTACGTGAGGGAGTAAAAACGCAACGCACGGGAGCAGTTTAAAAACGCTTTCAAGTCTCATCGTCCTGCGGCGTCCAGCGCGCGAACCAAAACAGCGCGACCGAGCACCGGCACCGTTTATTACCGAAAGTCCTCTTCCGTCCGCTGGGAGCGACGAGGAGCGCAGCCGTCGTTTCCTTTTTATGCCAACTCGAAACCAACGCGAAGCGGGAGGAAGTCCGTCAGAGCCCCCTCTGGTCGGTGCGATCGAAGCGGCTGTCGGCTGAACCGAGGCGCCGGACTGCAGCGGAGGACCACAGACTGCAGGCTGCATCGTCGTCGTGCGTCAGGAGGGGCGTCGGAAGGTGCACCTTCTCTTGACCCGAAACCTCCGCACATCTGCCTCTGAGCTGCACGAGTCACTACTCCACCACTAGAGTTACTGCTGAAAGACTCAGCTCTCCTTCCGAAAGATCCACATGTGTTTTGATCTGAAAATAAGGCTGAAACAAACATTATCAATCCATTAATCGATTATTTGACGGCCATGAGAAAAATACTGAAACATGATCACGTGCACAGAGCCAGTGGTGAAATGATATGACTATACATTTACTCAAATGACATTTTTGAGTACTTTACTTGAGTAAAAAAAAAAAGACTAATATAATAATAATTATCTATTGTTTCAGCTCTAAACAGTACGCATACAACTACATACAACAACTAGCTATACACCAACAAAGCAAAAGAGAGGACTTATACCATTATACCATTAAAATAAAAGTCAGACATTGTCAATCAGACAAACACATACATGAATTCTGGACATTCAAAATATTGTGTGGCTCCTGATTCACTGTGAAAATAATATTTGACATAAAGTAAAAGTATCATTTTGACTATGAAGAACAGGATGTTTAGTGAAAGATGCATTTACATTTAAACTATGAACTGCAAAGTGCAAATTTGGCATTTATAATATTCTATATGCAGAGATTAACCAGAGCAAAGCAACATAAACCTAAATGACTTTATTTTGTAGGCTTCTGTTTTCTGTGTCACTTTGAAACATTACAGATTTGACACAACTTCATTAATTACTCTGGTCTGAATGGACTGAAGCCTGTAAAACTATCGGCATGTTTTCTCCATGTCCAAAGAAGGACAGGCAGACTGATGGTCTAATCATGGGAGTTCACAAGTGACATAAGTCAACACTCCAAACCACTAAAACAGATGGCCTACATGCTACATTTTTCATGGAGGCGGCCTCAGCCAACGAGTGGAACATTTGGATCAGACAGATAGTCATGGTCCTTTCCAAACTGCTCGTTTTCCATTCTCACGCTTTAACTGCAGCCGAGCGACTCAGATGTTAAGCTTCACTGGCGGGAGCTGAGGAGCTGGAGCTGATTATTCTGTCAAACACTTGAAACTGATCTCCTTAGAAGAGGAAATAAGAAACGCAGGAAGCAGTTTTATTATCCAAGCATTTTGGATAAAGTAATACTTTTTTTTTTTTTGCATTGGCTGGTTCATTCAGCGATGTTAGATGAAGAGTAGAAGAAGCAGGGAATAACATCTCGGCACTTTGGTGAGAGCTAAAAGGATAAATGAGAAGCTGCAGTTCTACAGTACACAGTCAAGTATAATCCAACAACTATTTTCATTATCAATTAATCTACAGATTATTTTCTTAATTAACTGATGACTCGTTTTGCCTAAAAAATGTAGTAAAAGAATGAAAAATGCCGACACCGAAAGTTGCACAGTTTACAATAAAAGAAAACTGAAAAAAGCGGGAAATACTCACATTTTAGGAGCTGCTATGCAAATATTTGGCATTTCTGCATTATTTTTTTAAATATTTTATTGAGATAGTTTTTCTGTTGATTGACTAAGTATATCAGCTCTACAATAATTCTCTATATCTCACTATCTCAGAGCTGTTTGAGCTGATTTTGTTTGTTCAAACAGAGAATTTAACTCTGAGGTAAGTAAACTCTACTGTAGTGTTGTTGTTGTTGTTTTTTTCTCAGGCTGATTATTTTGCAAACTCTCAGCAGGAGGACTAATTTTTAAATAAAGCGGACCTTTTAAGTAAACTTCGAAGTTTCAATGAAGTCAGGAAGACAATATTCTGTGATTAATTAATGACGAATAAACCTGTGGACGATCCTTCCTGCAGGTCTAGAGAGAACCAATGGGAAGCTGACAGCTGTGCAGGTCGTATACACACCGTCTTCTCCCGGTGCAACAAGGAGGTGCCTGGCTGTCTTGGGGAGACGCTCGGCTGTTGGACTCCCAGCCGGAGGAGGGACACAACCCCGCCCCCCTCGTAAATCTCCTGGACCATCAACCTGGAATAGCCATCAGGTAAAAAAACAAAACACTTTCTTCCCGTCTGCTCATGCCTCCTCTTACACAACCGGCAATTAAATCTCAATCGACCTCCCCGGATGGAAAACATCTGTAGTAGTACATGACATGAGTCCGCAGCCTTCAAGGTACATCCAGATAGAAAGCACATATTATACATTACATCATAACGTTCTAAAAGTCCAAACGAGAACTTTCCCACTTTTACCTTTTTGTCCTGCTCGCTGTTGTTTCTCGCTCCATCACCGGCATGAAAATAAAACAAAACATAAGTTGAAATGAATCATTCTGCTCAGGTCTCTGATTTACAGCCCACCTGAGGCTACTTGTGTTCAGTAAAGGGTGAAAGTGCTTTTTTTAAAGCTCTTTGAAAGTGATGGGCTTCCGTCCCGCCACTGTTAGAAACCCTGTGGAGGAGATTCAGACAACAACGTGTCATCATTCCTCGGCTTGTGTCTTGGCAACAACAGTGGTGGAAGAAGTGCTGAAGGTGCCTGCAAAAGTTAATGTCAATCATTCAGGTCGAGAAGCCAAATCACTCTTAAATCCCATCAAGAAAAAGTAAAGAAAGGTAAACAAATAGAAGTAAAAGTACTCCTGAAGAACAATATGTTTTGTTGTTTGGGTAAAACTTTCAAAAAATCTCAGTTTTGGCTTTTTTTTTTTTTTACATTTTCAGCTTTCTGATCAGCTGATGGAGGAAATAAATATGAAAGATGGAGCGAAGGAGGATGAAATGAAGGAAAGAAGTTAAACTGGCAGCATAGAGGGAAAGAAAAGATAGATAGAAAGACTGAGACAAAGTAACTTGTAACTTGAGCTCTGAGATGCAGTGATGCAGTATAAAGTCTAACCAAATGGAAATAGCGTGCTGCAGGGAGGACACATTTTTGACGAGTAACTGCAATCGCCAGATCACGTCTCGTGGACCGATGTTCTAGTGATGACGTTCAGTCATCTCATGCTCCACTTAAGACACGTAAAGGCTTTCAAATTCTCGAGGGAGATATTACTTAACGAAATAGAACAAAACGTTTAAATCTCTTTAGCTTGTGTCAGACCATATTTCAGGCATCTAAACAAAAACACATAAAAGAAAAAACTCTTGACTTTGAGACGAGGGAACCAGAAGAGCAAAAATGCTGACTCATTTCCGTGTTTAAGGGCTCATTCCTGCAGCGCTCTATACCCAAGTAGTAAAAGTGCCTCAGAACTTTGCAGTACTTCAGTACAGATGAATACCTAATTGTACTTTCCACAGATGACCTGTGAGAACTGCTGAGTGTGTTTGTTTTGCTGGAGGAGGTACTGCTTTGTGTTTAGTTACTGTAGAGGACAAGCGTGACCTCAGAGCAGCTGGGTCATGACACAAGCTATTTCTGCTCCCCCCCTTCCCTCTGAGATGTAGTGGACTAGAAGTATGAAGTTACATTAAATGGAAATACAAGTACCTCAAAAGTATACTTAGATAGATAAATGGATATATACTTTATTCATCCCCAGGGGGAAATTTGTATTTGTACTTAATTTGTACTTAAGGACAGTATTTGAGTAGGCTACATTTCAACTTTAAATGTCACTGCACTGAATGAAGACTTGTACTATTGTCTTTTCATGAAGTTTACATTGATGCGTTTCAGGTTTTGTGACTATTTTCTTGTTCTGGAAACAGGGAATCCATTTCGTTATGGAAGCTGAGGTGGATAAAGTTAAGAGAAAAGGTCCACAGTAAAAGTAAAAAAAACTGTCACTTCATCATAAAATTATACATTTCCTGATTTATGACATTTCATTACTTCTGCTCTGTCTGAGCCGACATGAAAGCAAAGAAGAGAAGGGCAGGAAGAGCTTCAGATGTGATGCGATGGCAGACACCGAATTTCAAACAACAGTAAAAACAGATGGAGGGAGACACATCGAGGGGCTCCTGTAATCGCTTCAGCCGAGCCACCGACTGCACAGTGGCTGTCAATGTCACTGGATGCAATGGAAGGAGGTTTTTTTTCCGGATACAGAGCCGAGCGGCCAGAAGTTTTAAGGAGAAGCCTCTGAAGGTGACAGCTCCTGGTTTTAAGAGGGGCGACGAGGTCGGCTCCTGTGAGGTCCCGGCTCGGGTTTCTTGTTGCCTTTGACCCCTCCTGTCAGCTGTCCCGAGTCGGTGCAAACAAAGCGACTGCTGCAACGACTGTCTGGACAAACTCTGCTGCATTCAGATCAGTGTTTGAGTAGGGGGAGCTCCTCTGCTCACTGCCTGCTTCTGGTAAATCACAGCTATGGCCTCTGAGGTGACTATAATGACTTATAACAATACAGTGACCGAGAGAGACCAAGCTTTGCTAACTAAATGATATGACTGTACTTTGATGAAACACATCAATGCTGGAGTTACAGGTACAGTGTGTAGCATTAAGGGGGTTCTATTGGAAGAAATGTATGATACTATCAATGAGCATGAAGGCTTTAGTGCACAATCACCTGCAAATAAGAATCTCTTTAGATTGAGCCCTTTATATCTCCATACGGAGCGGGTCCCCTTCTCAGAGCCGGCCGCCATGTTTCTACAGTAGCCCAGAAAGGACAAACCACACACTGTCTCTAGATAAGATCGTTCACGTTTTTGTGTTTTCGAATCTGTCGACGGCGCAAAGGCACAAAAATAGAAAAGACAGCGTTCTGATGAAGGGATGACTAGTTCTAAATCCCTATGATGGGTCATAAACAGCATCCGGAGACATTCTAAGAAGATGCACGTCTAACATATATTAAATCCAGCATAGAAAGAAAGGTTGATTCAACAACGCACCATCTTAAGATAAAGACGGAAAGGAGAATAGATACTGTTGTTGTATATATAGATATTTGGCCACTTGTGAGGTCAAATGTTTTAATACAAGCTAAGCTCCTCT